GTTTAAAACTCCACCTTCAGGCTGCAGCAGGCTATGGAGCAGGCGGCGGCAGGCGGCGGGCGGTAGAGCGCGGTTCTCCAGCAGCGCCAGGCCCAGCAGCTGCGGGCAGCGTCCCAGCTGGTGGAAGCTGAGCAGAGGGCCCGGCTGACCCCGCCGCAAACGCCGCCCAAGGGCCTCCCGGAGCCGAGGCCGAGTGCGGAAGCGGTCGTGGAGGTGCTGGAAATACCGGCCCCACTCTAAAGCCCTGTCCAGGGTCAGGGAGTCCCAATCCCGCACCAGCGCGGAGCGGGAGACGGCCATGAGCGCAGGCAGCTGCTCCACCTGGCCGAGCACGGCCTCCATGGCGGCCGAGCCCAGGCTTGGCGCCACCGGTTTGAGCAGAAATCCCGCCTCCCGCTGGGAACCGCAGCCAATCCGAACCGGCGAGGGAGCGTATTTGTAACTCTATTGGCTGAATCTGACGCCAACCCTGTGAGGATTGCTCTGCCATTAAAGGAGACTCTAACCTTCCTCCTGTGCACTTCACTTAATTCCTCAGCAAAGGGCAGGCAAAGGGGAGGAATTGAGCCGAAATAAAGCGTTAAAAACCCAGCAGGATTAAAAAGTTAAAAAATAAGCCAAACCCACAACACAAAAACAACCATTAATAGGCTTCGAATAACCTTTAGAATAATACTCCTAAAATGCCCTAAAAAAAACCCCAAAACAAACAACCCACTCTGCAGGAGGACACATTTCCCTGTCCCACATTTGGAGGGTATTTCCCAATTTCTGCAGTATGCCCCATCCCTGGAGGGAAGCCATAGCTGACCTCAGTGCAGAGCTAGGCTGGCTCCCCAGTGCTGCGCACAGCTCCTCGCCCTGCCAGGGCCAAACCCTGCTCAGCCCACACAGCCAGGCTCGACCCACAGACCTACCAAGTAATGTCTTCATAGCTCATTAGCGGTTCCTCAGAGTACCCAGCCTTCCCTGGGTGGGTACCTGGCTGCCTGAAGAGGTAATGGCTAACACCCACCCTGGCCTTCTGGGCACCAACACAGCCAGGGTTTCCCTCACAACCCCCCACCCCAGACAGCACGGTGGAAATGTGCTATAATCACTCCTCTCTGTAGCAAGGAGAGGTAACCACTTCTCCCTTTCCTGCCTCCAACAGCCAAAGGACAGTTTTACATGGCCAGTGCCCTCGCTTCAGGGTTCTTAGGTGTAGCTTGCAGGACACAGCATACCTGTTGGATTCATTGTTTCCAGGTGCTTCCCTCATGTCTGCCACCTCAAGGGCTTCGGTTCAGCTGGAAGAGGAGACCTTTCCCTTCATCCTCTTCTCCATAACAGACCTGCTACGCTGAGAACTCCCTCACAGTGTGGAAGGGTGCAGCCTGACCTGGCTTCTGGCGTTTCTGCAGGTGTCCCCTGTGCCCCTCCCCTGAGGGGGTGAAGAAATGGTGGGAGGGTGTCAGAGCACGGGCTGACCTGGCTTCTGGCGTTTCTGCAGGTGTCCCCTGTGCCCCTGCCCCTGAGGGGGTTGAGAAATGGCGGGAAGGTGTCAGGTCGCTGGAGCTGGTAGTTTTTGGAGCTGCTGGGTGCTCCTCAGGGAATTCATGAGCCCTGTGGCATAATCCTGGCCACTGAGAGGGTACGGAGGCCGTGGAAGGCCTGCTGAGGTGCCAGTGCTGTCGGCTGGGCCTGGAGCTGCGCCGCAGGGCAGTGCCCGGGGCTGGGCTGCGCTGGACTAAGCCTGTGGGGAGACATTTCCCCCTCAGCCACGCCTGGCAGGACCCCGTGAGGCGAAGATGGGGATGATGGTGGGGGGGGGTAACACAAATCCCACTGCCAGCCTGCCTGAGCAACTTCTTTGGTAAGGGCTTTCTGAAAGGCAAGAGCAACACCTGGCAGAGTGAATGATGTTAGACTGGAATTTATTGCAGGAATTAGCAACAGAAACCAAACTGTAATACTGTGAGCTACAATTCTGTAGTGGGAAACAAAACACTCTGCCCATGGTCAGAGGGGGTGGAACTAGATGGTCTTCAAGGTCCTGTGCAACCCAAACCATTCTATGATATTATGTATTTTGGCCTCTCGATTAGGTTTAATACAGCATCTCTTGAATGGAGTGCTGTGGCCTACAGAAAGAAAACAGTTTCAGTGAATTCCAGACCCATGTTCTATTTTAGTAAGGAATATTTTTGGAGGGGTGTATGCTCAATGTCATAAAGTAGAGGTATTTCCCTTTACATCACAAAACTTTTCACAAGAAATCTTTCACATCATTGTTCTTTTTCTTTATTGGATAAAGTAAATGGGTTTATACCCTGACAATGTCTCTTTATGTTTTAGTTGAAAGAAATCAAATAATCACATTTGCAGCACTAGGAAGCTAACAAAAACAGGTTATGAAAATCTGACCAGGCTAGAAAAAACACTGAGTACTATGGTATCTGGAATACTCTTGCATGTGAAGGGACATGGCCTGGGTGTTCTAATGAGTCTCTGCAGAGCTGATTGAAAAATGGAATTTCCATTTTACAAAAATCTCCAAATATTTTAGCACTTGGTTTTGTCTCAAATTATGATGAAAAGTCTGAATATCAGCATTTTTCATCAAGGGGATGCAATCTGACAGCTTTGTAATGAAGTGGTTCATGAAAAAAAAAGAGATATTTATGTCTTTTTAGGTGTTGCAGCTGCATTTGGAATCTCCAGTCATGATGGGGCACAGTTGATGCATATAACTAAAAATAGAGCCTGATCTGAAGAGCTAGCAGTGTTCTGCATAAGGTAGCATTAGAAGATGAATTCAAGGAACAAACAAAAGAAACAAGGTAACACTGAGATAACTACAATTCATGTAATAAATTGTTATATCACAATAGCCCTTAAAAATAGTAATTCCTTTTCCACACTCACTGTTGACTGAACTTCCTTTCTACTCTAATTTTTGTGTTATTATTTGAGAGCCTAACCACTCTCAGAATGTGTTTTGAGATCTTCCACTGCATGACTGGAATCTATTTATCTGTTGATTGATCTGCTGATGCTTGTGCCATGTAGTAATCAAATTAAATTGAACAAACATGGTTTTGTTCTCACAGGTGAATTATTTTCCTATACCTTTTAAGTGTTAGTGTTCTCTTGTCTATGACCTAGTTTTAGCTTGAGAAGCCTTAGAGTTTTTCTTACCAACAGTAAGCTTGCTAAGTATTAAAGTTTGTATTTTGTAGTTACTGTTTATCAACTTCTACTAAGTGTGTTGCTATCTGATACTAGTGCTGAGTTGTGTAGAGATTGTTTGACAGTATCTGTATAGTGCTGAGTTGGTTTTCTATCTGAGGAATGCTTATAGGATAGTGGGGAGGTACTGACGAAGTGAGGTAGAGAGTTAATGTTGGGGAAGGGGATGGAAAAGATTGGGTCAGGAGATGCAGCAAGAGCACATAGTTGGCAGGGAATAGAACAGTGAATTTTCAGATAGCTGGTTATGTGTGTGGAGTGTTTTCCTGCTTAACTTTATTAAAGCAAAAACCTAGAAGTTCATTTCTGGGCCTCATGTAGGCCCTTGATTGTTTAATATCAGTCTGCTTTCCCTATTAATGATTTTTGTGGTAGTCTCATGCAGTTCTAGGTAGAGTTCAATGTGTATTTCATGTCATGTAAACTATGTAATCTCTTTATTTTTTTCTAACAATAAATGGAACACACAAAAATGTCTTAAAGAACAGTCATCCAGACTACACATATAAGTGCATGAGGCTTCCTTCTGTGGAGGATGGAAAACTAGGTTAATGTAGTATTTTTCAGCTATGTTGAAGAACTATTGCTTCATCACAGAATCTGCAAAGTAAGATTTTTTTTTAACTTAGAAGCAAAGAAGAAAATAGAAGAGACAATAGCGCATATTTTGTATGATAGGCTAGAGTACAGATTTACAATTGCAACACTTCAGATTGTTTAAGGTCTCTGCTATATGCTTCTTGCAAATAGCTATGATAGTATGAACAAGGGTAATGAGTGTTTCTTGTTATGGGCTTTGGTTCTAGTTTTTGTGGGTTTTTTTCTCCACCCAATAAAGTCTGTCTTTTACTTTAATCTCTAAAATGAGCATTAAAATAAGAAGACTCTTTGAGAGAATTCATCTACTGTTGTGTTAAGCTGTAGTAAATGTTTCTCCATTACAGCTTTTGACTGATAAGATACATGGCAAAGAAAGCTGTTGACCAAGTAAGAAAAGTGTCTGTTAGATACAGAATCTGGGAAGTAATTTCCACAGCTCCCTGAAAAAGCCCACTTTTCAGTGAAGTGCTGCAAAACAGTTTCACAAGCCCTGCATTTTGTAGGAATTACTGTACTGTTTTATCTAAGTGGAGAAGTCAAGTAAAAGATTCATATGAAATTTTATGGAACTAGCGAGTTTCTTCACCCTAGTTATGGAGCCAGTAAAATTTACCCTGGCAGGCAATCTCAGTTTTGAAGCAAAACTGGTCAAACTATCCAGAAGTCTGTATTCCATTGTTGTATTTTCCTTCGTCTCAGAAGTCATATTGTCTGTAACATGGTTATACTATTCACCCTGAACAGAAATTTAGGACATTTTACTCAGTATACCTAGCATTATAGAACTTGAGAATGGCCTTTCCTTAGGTAGTAGGTGTGATTTCAAATTACAGAAGTGAATACATTGAGAGAGATGTATGATCATCTATATTTCTGGTACTGTCACTTTGTAACTGTAAGGAGGTTTGTTTAACTGCCTCAAATTGCATGCTAGGCATAAGCTTGCCACACTCATTATGTAGTGACTTACATATATTGAAGACTCTGAACTTGTGGACTATTCATGTAGGATTCTTTCTTATTTCTCAAAAAAACTTTGTGTAAAACGGTGGTTAGTCAAGCCAGTACCTGTCAGACTCTGTCAGCCTTTCCATAACTTCTGGTGAGGTCCTTAGAATTTTTTTTGTCAGTGTAATCTCTCGTATCTCAAAAACTAGACAGGCTGTGATGATCTTTTGAAATGAGAATAGTAACTGATATCAATGACTAAGCAGCAGTTTTACAACGCACTAGAATGAAAATTGACTGAAAATCACTGTGTTGAAAGAGTGCTGTATGTAACATATGTCATTACTGAGATAACCTAAAAAATATTTTAATTAGGAATTTTGCCTCTTCCTGGCTATATATACTAAAACTGTATTTTTTTGGAAATTGATATAAACAGACAGACTTTGCTGCCTATCCCCATTTCTGATTTTGATACTGTGAGTCAGGACTATACTAGCAAAGCTACTAAGTTAGGGTATAACTCCTCAGTATTAGAGCTTCAGTATTAGAGACTCGGGTAG